AAAAAAGTAGATCAGAGCTAAAAAAGTGCAAAAACACAGACAAATTTGCCTGTGTTCTACTACAATCTAAGGGATAGAAGAGAATGACTTAATAGAATGTTTACCTATAAGAAATATATAAAAAGTTTTAAAGATGATAGATTAGAAATCATGTTAGAACCTAAGCTTGGATCCAATAAAAAAGAATTAGTACAGGTATAGTTATATGCATATACGTATAATTGCTATTTCATATATAATTAAGGGAATACCTATTTCTACTATAGAAATTTGCTATTTTCACTATCCTTTTCATATGACTTTAGCTACATAAACATAATGAATAAATTATGTTCAATGGTGGAAATAGTAAATTTTCATGGTGGAAATAGGTGTTTCTATAATTAATTGCTACAAAATTATGTAATAATTATAATTCTGCCATAATTTCCACCCTATTATAATATCTACCCTATTGTAATATCTACCCATTATAATATTCACCCATCATAATTACTACAGTTGCTAATTATATGTATAATAATAAATACATACTGTAGATAACACATAACGAATGCCATTTTTATGTGAATGACAGCCAAAGGAGAATATGGTTTGGAAAAGATGAAGATCTTTTATGTCCAAAGGGGGAGAGTCATTTTATAATGGTTTCAGTCTTTCTTTGTCCTTGTCATAGACTATTAAAACTATCTGATGAGCAAATGAAGATGAATCCATATATTAAATACCAGAAAGCATTCATTCTTCATTCTATACAGGCAGACAGTTACTGGAAATCAGAACATATGTTGGATCAGTTAGTGCAACAAGCAATTCCGATATTTGAGATGCTTCATCCTAGCTGTATTGGAGTCTTCTGTTTCAACCAATTAACAAATCATAATGCAATAACAGAAGATGCACTAGTGGCAACACAAATGAATTTAGGACCCAGAGGAACATAATCCAAAATACATGATGGCTGGTACATTAATGAAAATGGAGAGAAAATCATATAGTCTATGGTATTTCCAGATGATTATGAAGTAGAAAAAGTAAGAGAAGAGCCTAAAGGAATAAAACAAATACTTGTGAAGTGTAATTTATGGCTGTCAAAAAGTGTTCGACTATTATATGAAAAATATAAAAAAAAAGAAAAAAATTCAGAAAGGTTAGATTGTTGTGTGCGAAGAATAATATTTCAACAACTCGATTTTTATGAACAAAAAGTGATTTTAGAAGAACTAATTCTTAAAAAAGGACATATTTTTGAAAGATATTCTAAATTTTATTGTGAATATAATTTTATAGAAAGGTATTGGGAGTATGTAAAAAAAGAAACATGAAAACTATGTACTTATAATTATACTAACTTACTACAACTAGTTCCAAAAGCTCTTGTTAATGTCTCTGTAACAAAAATTTGCAAATTTTTTCACAAGTCCTGGAGGTATATGGATGCCTATAATAAAGAGTTAGAAGGTAAAGTTGCTGAGTAGGCTGTCAAAAAATACAAATCACACTGCTGTCTACCTGAAAATATTGAAAAATTAATAGATTTAGATACTTTAGAAATGTAATATTTTTGTATTTTTTTATTAATAAAATAACAAAAAAGATCTAATATAAAATCTATATATTGATATGAAGTTTGTTAAATGACCAAGTATATGCTGTTATAAAAGGTTACAGAACTACAATTGCTATTCAAAATTTTTTTATCATATAATTTTATTGGTCAATCAAAGATCATGAGAAAATTGAACTATTTTAGATGATTGGCGATTATAGCATTCCGTAACTATACAAGAACTTATCTTGAATTTGCATTACCTGATGTCAGTTTGCATTCTTTCATATAACTTCAACATTGTGCAAATGTCTCATAACTTGCCAGTCATTCTAGTATAATCATAGTTACAGATATCTTATTTTAACTAATTGACAGAATGCTGTCACTATAATAATGCTTGTATATTACATAGGAGATTATTCAAATTTTTACTGTCAGTGGGTTTTAAACTTACTACTTACTACTTGGAGTTAACAACTTATCCACTTTACTAAGTCACCACACTTTTTTGTTATAATTCTTAAAATTTTACTAATTAATTATATCTCTATTTAGAGTATAATAACTTAGTAAAATGAACAGATTGTTACTTCTAATTAGCAGGCCTAGAGTTCAATTCTAGTGTTAGCAAAAATTTATAATTCTTTTTATATTATAGTTAACTGTTTTTTAAAATTAGTTAGGATCAAATATCTGTTCCTATATTATATTATTATAACTAGAAAATTATATAGCATTTATACAACCTTGTATAAAAGAATACAAATTAATACCAAATAATGTAAATCTATAATAAGTCCTATAGTCATGTAAATTACAAAAACAGAAAGATAAAAGCCTATTTGAAAAACCTGAATAGAGAGGTAATCTAAATTTTTAATAGTTTTACTATAAAGACTAGTTCATTAAATAGTCTAAAATCTGTAAAATCTAGTAAAAACAAGTTAGTTTTTAAAAAGAAACTATTGCAACTAGCCAAGTTGCCAAAATTCATTTTAAAGAAAAAAGGTATATGCTGAAAAACATATAAATTAGAGATACAGTTTACTTATCTTTCTAGGCTATTTAAACTAAGAGCTTAATAAAACTTGATTTGAATACTAAAGTAATAGAGGTATATTATAAAGTAAGTACTAGTATTGGAATAAGCTCTATAAAAGCATAGCAGTTTAATAATAACCTGATTGCAAATGTTGATCATGATTATAGCATTACTAGATCAGCTATAAGAAAGTAATATAAAATATTCTGAAAGGTTTAATACAAAGTCAAAGGTTCTCATATGAGCAACTGTCTTAAAGACTTAATAACTATAGTATATTTGCACTAGTATCAACTAAAGCATCTTAGTAAGTATAGATAAGTTAAATAGATACAAAAACTAGAGTGTTTAAATAAGAAACTTACAAGCAGATTCTAGATATAATAGCTAATATAGAATCTTTAGATGGACTATTTAAATTAGACAATAACTAAGTTATATAAATAGCTAATTATATACTTTTTTTATAATTAACTTTATAGTTATAATACAACTATTAGCTAAATATATTATCAATAAAATTCTGAGTTACAAGTATTTACCTTAATATTTAAAAAAAAATTATATCTTTATTTTTTAAATAATTTTGTTTTAGATATAAAAATATATCATATTAGTATATATTTATTTTATAATTTTTAGTTATAAAAAAAAGATGCTTAATTTTAGATTTTTGATGAAAAAATTTAAAATTAACCATTTTTTTAAAAAATTTAAAAAATATAATTAACTATATATCAATATAATATATTTTATATATAAAATAAAGTTACTTAAAAAATAAAGATAAAATTAATAATAAGAATAGCAATCTTAATGTAGTAGTTGAGTTGTTATCCTTCAAGTAGTAAGTCTAAGGTTTAAATTTTATTTATAACAAAATTTGAAAATTAATCTGTATTATAACAAACTGTTTTTTGATAATTGATTAGATTGATATATCTGTAATCTTAAGTTGTATTATCTCAAATAGAAGCTTGGAACATTTATACAAAGTGTAATATTACATGTATATAAAGAAATTTTAATAATTAATGTTATATAAGACCTTAGTGCAAACCTAAAATAAGACTACTAAGTACAGTAAACTAAGAAACTAAAAAATTGAAAGCCTATTTGGAAATTTCTAAGTAAAGAGATAACATAAACTTTTAACAGTATAAGCAGACCAATAGAAGCTTATAAAACATCTTCAAAAAAATAGACAGATAAACTGAATGACAAGATGTATAATAAAGTACATGACCAATTAGACTGCCAAATTGCTAAAAAAAAGAATATCTATATATATCATATTAGGCTATTTGGATTGAAAGTTAAGAAAATTTTGTTAGTTCTAAGTAGCAGTTAGTAAAAATGATAAAGAAGATGTTACAATAATAGATACTGGAATTCTAGTAAACTTTACAAAAGTAGAAATAGGGTAATATTATAGTTAAAGGGGTGTGGCAACCTAGTGAAGTGATCAGGTTGTCAACCCCCAAGTGGCAGGTCCAGAGTTCAAATCCCAGTATCGACAGAAAATTTGAAAATCCTTCTTGTGTTACAGTTAACTGTCTCTCGCAATTGGTTGGGATAAGATACCTGTAACCTGTATCACACCAGCATGACTGACAGGTCACATGGCATTTATGTAATGGGCACATAACATTGTCCTTTGGGACAAGGTCTGTAGTTACACAAAGGAATGCAAACTGGTACCAGGCGGTGCAAACTTACAATAA